AACAACAAGAACAAGCATAGTTGGAGGATGTTGGAAGATCCAGTTCTATCTAGATGCTCAGCACCCATCCCTTCGATCTAGATGCTCTGCTCGGGTTTCTGACCACCCCTGACAACCCCCTGACAACCCCTATTCTCGTCCCACAACCCGCGTGACCGACTGAGGTGGACGACACCACCGAGAAGGGACAGAAGAAGTCCGATTCGCCCCCCGACCCAGACCTGGACCCGCCCAGACGGACGGACGGGTGGAGCGCGGACGGGTGGAGCGGGTCCGGGTAAGGGGTCTGGTGGGTCCTTGCACAGCGGCGTAGCGTAGCAAGGGTGCATGGCATTTCGGTCAGACACTCCATGGGACTGTCATATTTACATACATTGGGATGGTTGAAAAGGGGTCAATGGGGCGGCATATATACCAGTCCCATGGAGTGTTTGGGGAATGTTTTCTTGTGGCGAATTGCTGGGCTCCAACATCGTGCGAGCGATGCATGGGTTGGATGATGGATGGGATGGATGCGAGCCGAGAGCCCTTGGTTAACAGAAAATACCTTGTGAGACCCGATACATACCTGGATCTGACCAGTTTCTGACAAATTTAAATGTATGCCATTTATTCATGCATAGAAACAGCCAAGTTAGGCAGAAATGTTGCATAGACTGGTCAGATCCAGGCATTGATTCATCTCGTTGTCCTTCCGGAGATGCACAGCGGGAAAAGTGGATCACCTAACCGAACTTGAGGGAGTTTTTCTGACACCCCACGAAACATAGAAAGATGGAGGTTTGTTCGGTTCACCTTCATTTTCCACGGGAAACGGCTTGGGAGCCAGTGAAGAAAGCGCATACTGTACCAAGAATCCTCAATTAGCTTAGTAGTGCCAGAGGGGAACTGCTGAACCTAATCCACTCATGAGTCTACCTGTAGAATGAGGTGCAATGAGGTGACCAAGGTTTTCCTTGTCAAACAACTTCCATGGAGTTGGCTAAGATTGCCACCCTATGATATTTTTCTTTGCAGATACACTGCGAACCCATACATACAGACAGACAGACATGCATACCTACATACTGCATCATACTGCTAATGTTCTATAGGTAAGTGTGTATGTTTCCCAGTATCCAGACACATACATACATACCCGTAATTTGGAGGTATGTGTGTTCCCCCTTGGGGTTCTTCATATCACAGTAGGCTCAGACCTAACGATGGATTTCAGCATGTTTCAAGCGAACTGAGAACAAGATCCGCATGTCTTCGACCCAAAATCCGACTCCTTCTTTTCCCCAACCACCTCTCCAAAGCATGGTGCGTTTTCTGTGCGGCACGGCACAGGTCGGCACGGCACACGGCACGTCGGCACGGCACACGGCACACGTGTCGGCACGGCGTCCTCGCCTTCAGGTTGGTCATGTTCCGAAGAGAGGTGGACCTCCTTCGGTCCTTAAAACACACGCCGCTGGGCAAAGAGAAGGCTAAGGGCGGAGTGGTGAAAGCGTGGGCGGAGAGTGGCGGACGATGGATGATGTGCGATGTTCCCTGTAGGTGTCCTCCACTGGACGGGAAGATGTTTGCCTTTTCCAGAGGAGCGGTATGCAGACTTCTTGTGTATTGTGTCACAAACAGTCTGCAGATCCAAGAGGCGCCATAAATTGAAAAGGTGCAGATCCAGGTTTGCGGGTGCCAGGTGCCAAATGTCACCTGCAAATCAGCGGTATCGGTCCAGTGGTACGGATGTTTTCCGGATTTCGGATGGGACAGGAGGAGTGTGAGCTATGGATCACATTGACCGGATCAGATGTCAGATGCTTTTCAGATAATACTTCTCAGATCAGATGTTTCTGTTCCCTATGGATGCCCTCGGATTGCTGGCCCCACCATTGATTCGATCGGCGGCTGAATCCGGAAGCACCAAGCTGTCTTACTAACGATGTTTACACGACAAAACCAGGTCAACCATGTCGAAAAAAGACATCGCCTTGGACTCCTATGGGTTCCTCCCCTTCCTTGTGGTATATTTTGTGCCCGCTTCCTCAACAGCAAATCCTAAGTGATTGTGCGTTGATGTCGTTGGCACTGGACCGAATGGTGTCATATGTCTACCAAACAACAACAGTTGTTTTCACTATATGTCTTATACTACTTCTTGGCATCGATGGTGTTTCGGTTTGCTTCTCCGGTTCCTCACATCAGCTTCTTCCTCCGCCTCGCCGAACGGCACCCCACCACCGAACGGCTGGGCTGGCGTCACGCCATCCGATTCGCGCCGGTCGCTGTCCCCCTCGCGGTGCCCTTGGCCTCTAAGGAACATCGTGCGAGTGTGGGACGTGTATGTCGCTCGGCGGCTTTTTTCATCGTTCGGGGGGTGCCCCCCCAACGGCGGATCTTGGGCGGATCTTGGGGAGTCTCATTTTTACTTCACCTGGTCATGGAGAAACTGTCACTGATAAGCAGACCAGGTTTCAACTGGGACCGGCCAGGGTGGGAGGCCGATGGCCGAGGTCAGCGCGAAAGGTCCCCCCAAAGAGACCCAAAGTTCTGCCTAACTGGGCTGTTTTTGATGGATGAAAAGGCAGAGGGCCAGAGAATTCCACAGAGATCTGAGATGATCGCCTCGGGAGGTCGGGCAAGAAATGGTAGTTGCAGCTCACTACAAAATGATACAAAATGCTTCACACTGAAGGAACGCTACAGAATGCCAAAACTAACGCAACACACACAGCTAAAGGTTGCAACAATCCGAGGAAGCCTCCTTCAGCATTCTTTCGTTTTGGGTTGAAAATTGCAGCCATGCAGCAAGTCGACGACTTCCTCGAATCGAAAGAATGGAGAGTTGAATGGAGGTCAGTGCAGAAAGGCAAATCTCAGGGCAAGAAGTATAGACGAGGGGTTTGTCCAGTGACCAAATCCACCTATGATTATGATTCACAAGTCAAGGCCGTGGCGGCCTTCAAGCAACGCAACCCAGGTGTGGGTACCTGGCCAAGAGCAGAATCCAGGCCAGGCAGAGAGGCAGGATGCTCCAGCCGTCTCACCAATGCGTCCAGTTGCAATGGTCAGGGCAATGGACCGCTCAACCTCCAGCTCCTGCTGAAGCAGAGCAAGAGCACGATACAGCCTTTGCCAGCGCAGAGGATACGGACGCCAGCAGTACACGGAGGCGGCGCATCGATTTGCGCGACAGGTTTATCAGGCTGGTCTCGAAACTGGATAAAAGGGATCTGAAGAAGGTGTACAGGAATGCAAAAGAGGTACATCAGATCCGAAGAAGGCTGCGCCTTTCAGGATGCGCATCTTGAAATCTAGATGCTGGATTTTCAGGGGAAACAGAAAGCAAGAGAGACTCCAATGGCAACAGATTGCACAGGCTTGGCATATATAAAACATACCTTCCGCCCCGGAGGTAGAGAGTTGGGAGTGGTTAGCGGTTTGGTTCCGTAGTGTGTTTTGCTCCTCTTCCCACTCTTTACTATTGGGGATGCACGGAAGGAACCCCATGAAAAAGTTTTGAAGCGCTCGAAATGAGCAAACAGGAGGCAACAAGAAGAAACATGTGAATTCCTTGGGGGCCTGGCCAGGGGTTGGGATGTGGCCCACCTGGCCAGGGGCGAGTCAAACACCCAGAACGCCCCTTTCCCTTGTGTGTGGACGGGGAAACGGGGTGTTATCAGGCACTGTTTGTTTTAACGTGTTAGTTCTCTTTAGTTTTGACAATTCTGCCGCAGAGCGAATCACAAAGATTTCCAACAATTCCGGAGGTAAAGAGTTGGGAGTACCCGTTTGGTTCTATGAAATGGGGTGGCTCGAGGCCACTCTGAACTGGAAACTCCATAGTAAAATGTGAACAATTTGTAGGAACATGTTGTAGCAATGGCTCTTTCCAGGCGGTGAATGACCATGCATGTTGCAACATTCTTGACCTAAACAAGGAGAGGTCCCAGCGACCTTGGAAAACTCAATTTGTAGTAAGGCCGATGTAGGCTGAGACAAGACTTTCGTGACTTTCGAACTCAGCTGGAAAACCCATTTTGTAGTGAACGAAGCACTTTGTAGGTATCATGTATGTTTGTAGCCATTTGGGTAGCCACTTGCAAACAATCCGAGGATGCCTCCTTTAAAAGCCTTACTTTTCCACTTGCTCACACTTTGCGTTTCATTGCCCCCGGTACTGGGCGTTTGTCATGCTTTGCACTTGCTACCTTTGTCTATATAATAATATTATATATATATACCTATGTACTGCCCGTATACTCACTATCACTACATGGAAATGCATGTGGAAAGGCATGTGGAAATGCATGTTATAGCAACATTCCTTTGGAAATCTCACGTCAGCAAGCCACCCCAACAATGCATTTTGTAGTCCAGACATTTGAGCCCAACAGCGTCCAACGAGGTCCGGTGGAACGTTTCGCGAGGTTGGTGACGGTGTGCGTTCTGCCCGAAGGAAATCCTGTCAGTCACCTAGCCCAAATGTTCCAGTGCTAGGTCTAGGTGTGCTAGGTCTAGTGTTTATACTGAAGGGACCATTTTTTGGATCGAATTGTAACATCAGTTGAAGGATGTTAAGGATGTTGAAGGCTTCGGCTTTACACCCTCGAAGAAGCCGGTTCGGTGTCATTCCGCGAAACGTTCAGGGTTGTGTTTCTTTCATGTGCAGCCAGTTCAGATGTATCCGTCAAAAAGAGCCTGAGACCAAAGCATCCTAGATCAAGCTTGACTTAAGAAAATGGCCTCGCAATGTTGTGTTTAGTGGTGACAACCTTTGAGGCCTAAACAGGAAAAGTGGCCCTGCAATACTTTTTGAGAGATTGGTGACACCCCACGCAAATCCAACAGATGGAAAAGGGTTGAAAAAGGTTTAACGGTTTAACCTGTTTATCGTAGACAAGCTGAGTGGGTCAGCCTCACTGGACAGACCTTGGACTTCGCCCCGGACGTCCTGACCTTGCAGCGTGCGAACTCGCAGCACTTAGGAGACAGCTCATTATTTCTACGTGGTCATGGATCTTTGTCGCGGCGGCGAGCTCTTTGATATGATCAACGAGGCCCCCCCAAAACGTCGAGTTGGATCATGAAATGCCAAGATACAGCGTGCAGATCTGATCTGACATGGGGCGCTGACGTGGGACCAGAACGATTGGATCAAATTGGATCTCTCAAAAACACCTGGGATGTGAGATTGCTGTATTGAAGTCACATGAAATCACATGAGACTTCACAGACTTCACACTGACGCCTATAAACACCCAGCGCATGCGTTGTCCTCTGGAGCTCTTTCGAAAGTTGGCTCAAGGGGTCTCCAGGGCTGCTGGGGGGTCTCCAGCTTCGAAACAGCATGCTACTTCACGTCCTCAGATCTCTTGCAGTGCTTGGGACGGGGGGAAGATGGTGGATGAATCATGATGACTGACCCATGGACGACGAATGGGACTGGAACCAAAAACGCTGCCGCTCCATGGACCCCCCTGGCACCCACCCCAACCACCTCCTCAGGAGGTGGTTGGAGTTGTAGGGGATATACTCCATGGGACTGCCATAGGACTGCCCCAGACAGACCCCCCTGGCACCCACCCCAACTCCCCTGGCCTCCCGGCATCGGCAGCTCCGTTTCTCGCCGTGTCTGGGTGATAGTGATGAATCCATTGGCATTGGGGAAGATGAATCCATGTATCTCTTCGTCCGGTCCGGTGATTCGGATGTCTCCACGTGATCATATAGCTTCTGATTGCTGGGAAGACACTGAGTCTTACCTGAAGTGATTAAGGCAAGACACTGAGTCAGAACAGCCTACACATCTTATGACTCATACCAGGACACCTAAGAGACAGTAGTTAATTCATCGACATGCCTTATATAATACCTGTAACCTCTGAGAGCGAATTATAGACACCCCAAACAGGGTGTCCTGGTAGATCGTCGCAGGTTCCCCTCCCGCCACCGGGGAGACCCAGCGTCCGCCAGTATGACCGCCTCTCTGAAGCTGACACCGCGGTCATCGCCAAGCAGCTTCTAGGCCCGCGGTCATCGCGTGGGGAGCGGAGGGCAGCGGGCAGATGTGGCGAACAGGAGTTGGTCTTCCATTGACCTGGTGGGCTGCTTAGGGCTGATGGGGCTTTTGTAAATGTTTCCGAACTGAGTGAATCCGGCATGGGATGGTATGTTCAAAAGTTTTCCCCGGTTCCTGGACTGCCAACTCAAGTTGAAGCACTTTCATGATTGCAACTGTTCATCAACCCCAGGAATGTGGGGATGTGTTGGATGTGCTTTGGTGATGAGGGTTATATGGCCTAGACGCTCCATGTATGGCGTATCTGGGGTCTATCCTATTTCCTGTAACAGGACCCGTAAACAAAGATCACTACTTTAGAACAAGGCCTACAACCTAACCATCATCCACTGATGCTGGTACCTGGGAGCATCTGCCAATGGCTCTTCTTCGCGACGCCGTGCCCAGCAATGATCATCGGATGTTCCGCCGGCGCCAGGTGGCATTGATTACATGCATAGCAAGGGGGTGATGCACCGTGACATCAAAGCGGAGAACGTGCTGTTGACCGAATGGTCTGCGACGGCGGTGGCCACTTGGCACCGCACAACGTCCGGGGCGGGGGGGGCGGTGGAGGATTCCAGGTCACGAGGGACGTTCTGCGGTCAAAATAGAGGTCAGTTACGTTCTATAGGCTAATAGGTATATACCAGGACATCCTGGGCTTCCATTGATAGCGCCTTAGAGGTGAAGGGGTATCCATCAACCACCCCGACAGTGGGTCCTGGTACAATCGCAGAGCAACCAAAAGTGGTCTTGACGAAATGTGAAGAGCTGAAGAAGCTTCGGACCTTTGGCAAACATGGAAACTGCCACAGGTAGTATGTGGAGATGGATTTCTCATGATTTCTCATTCGCTTCTAAGTTTTTCTTGGTGGGCGAACATGGCGGACTTAGTAGGAATATGTAGGACAGCAAGCTATTTGCATGGATTGGAAGCTAGATAGATCTATATAGTCCTTTGCAAGTTGACCCAGCAAGAATTTGACAACCATGCGCAGATCAACAGCCAGCACACGGCTGGCCGTGGTAGTTGAACAAGTGGTACCCTAGAGGTCTACAGACCACCGAAGTAAAGGAGATTCCAAACTAGTGAATCTGTGACCTAGTCGGTGTGACCTAGCCTGGACTTCCGTCGGAGGGTAGGACATCTACGTGAATCTGCTCCAGAGCAAAAGAGAGCTGCTGGGTCCGGTTGTCCAGAGCAAAAGGTGTGTGAGAACAGGCAGAGTCCGGTTTGGAAGCGAAGCTTCCCGGTTTTTTTTCGTTGGACCATGTGTTAACTTGGGGAAGACCTTGTGTTGTCTCATGTAAGATCCCTGGCAAAAACATGCAAAAAGGGCTCGGTTCTTTATGTTGTTTGGAATTTGAAGCATGAAATCAATCTAAATCAATGGTAGGCCGGGGTATCTAACTGAACATGACCCAATTCCATGACCTTCATGGAGCAAAAAGAACCACCCACTTGCCAAGTTCTTAAAGGTTTTCTCTTCCACCTTTCTTCCAGCATCTTCCAGCATGTGTTTAACATCAGCATCAACCGTGGCGTTGGGAGCTAGGTCAAGATCATCGACTTCGGAATCGCAGCCAAGTCGCTGGGCGGGACCAGGGACCAGGTCGTAGGTCAAAGTTGGTCAGTGAACGACCTCATCAAATGCTGGAGTTGGTCATACAAGAATCAAATTATTATATATATTATAATATTTATATATATCATACACATTATATATTAAAAATAAAAATATATGTTTTTTAGTATTATCCGGTGAGGTTTTCAGGACCAGATGTTACTGTGTAGACCTGTGGGCTTTTGGTGCCGTGGGTGGCAAAGCATCACAATCAAGACAGAATCAGCTGAATCAGCATGCTCAGTCAGTCAGTCAGTCAGTCAGTCCACGGAGCAAGGCTGAGCGTAATCAAAACGAGTAAACAAAAAGAGTCGTGACTGGACTTTGAGGGTGCTTCAGCATGTGTTTCAGATGTCACCGGGCATCTCTGCTGGTGTTGTGTTTTTAGATCCAGATCCGCCACGTCCGGATCTTCAACCCAAAGAGTGACCCTCCAGTCCCCTCCGCAACCACCGCCGAGTCCTCGGTACCTGGGTTCTCTCGAGTTCTCGTGTTACTCGCGAGCGAGTCGGCAGAGACCTGGGCAGAGACTGCAGAGACCGCCGAGGTTTCAGCGGGGCGAGATGTTCGATAAGGTCTCAGGATCACCTCAGTGGCTTGAATTCACGATCGAAAGGGAGAGTGTGTGACAGAGTATATGAGTGAAGTAATGGTGAGTGGTGAGATGAAGCTTTATGCATAATAAAGATGTTGATGTTGAATGATTTTGAGTGGCAAGCCAAGACGCACAAAAGGGGTGCGAAAAAGGATGAGTGGGGCTTGAGGAGGACTTTGAAGCAAAGGGACACCGAACCGGACTATTGGTTTGTTCTTCATCTTCTAAGTCTCCCCGATCCATCATCGACCCTCACCGCCCCGAAACAGGAGTTTTGAACCCTCGGACCTTGGGAGTCCGCCCTGGAAGCCTTTTCGTCCGGGCGACTACTCGGAGGAGAGCGGACTGCGAAGAGCAGATGGGGTTCCCATGACCGAACGGGATAGGAGTAGATGGCGCTTTTTTCGGACATTGGATTTTGCACCATGTATTTGGAGGTTCTGGGTGTAGAAGTTCTGGCTGGGTTAGAAGTTCTGAGTTCAGATTCCATGACCGTTTATGACTGACGGAGTCATCCGTGCGGAGACCGGCGTCGCCGGCTTGGGGCATCTTGGGGATGAGTATGCCTCGAGTTGTCAACAGTTCAATGTTCTTCCATATCAGAATCTCACGTAATTCGGGTGTTTTGGGGGCTCCTACAAGTTCTGTGGCCGTGAAAAAAAGGAAGCCACCAAAAAGAGACTGAACCATTCCAGCCCTGGGCGACGTTCTTTCACTCCAGATGACCTTGGACCAATGTGAAGCCAAGAGAAAGGATCGATCCAAAAGGCTCAAGGCTCACAACTCGCCACCACCACCACAGATGCCAAGAGAGGTTAAGTGACCTGAACTAGGACGCATAACCTGGGGTACCCTGGCCTGGGATAGTCGAACTAGGGTCCTTCAACCTCTGTTGGTGGGGTCTGGAGATGTGGCTCGCTCTCCTCGCCTCGACCTCCGTCGCCGGTTTAGTCGGTCGAATCCGTCTCTGAGCCGCATAGATCGAAGATCGAAGGAAGGGCAGGAAGGGCACGGAGGAGAAAGCCCACCTGTCTGAACATGGTTCCTGAGATGTGGAGAAGCCATGGGAAACCTTCTAACATCTGGCAAAACCCAAGGGGGTCTTCAAAATACACTCCCATGGTGGACACTGCCCATTGGAAGACATCCTCGGTCACCGACGGAAAAAACCTGTCGACCTGCTTCCCTGTTTCCATCGTGAAACGCTCTGCGCTCCCAGGTATATGGCTCCCGAATTAGTGGGCCAACGATACGACTATCGGGTGGATATGCCGCTTCGCCGCGAGGGCCATCGCGTGGGTCAGTGGCGTGGGCCACGCATGCGGGGGGGAATGCTTTTGGGAGACCACTAAAAGTCCTTTTAACAAAATGAGATCTTGTTCGGTATGTTCGGTACAAAACCATGAAATCAACGATGGGGCACAAATTTTTACGGGGTTATATCATGTTTATATCAACTTTCCCATCCTTGTTCCCTCTGGTGGAAAGTCCGGACCTTCAATGGTCCATGCTGGACTCATTGCAAAGTCGAAGAGTCCATTCTTCGCACCAAAAGAATTAAGACCTGTCTTTTTTGAAGTCCAAAGAGGTAAAGGGATTGGTGCTTTTTCGTTGGTCTTCCGACCTGGTGTTGCTTCGATCAGACGTGATTTCGTTCCGTTCTTCTCGAACTGGGTGACATGTCCTGCACCACGGAAGATTCTTGTGCCAAGAGTCACAGAGCGAGTTGGGTGGTATGGCTCGCCCCATGCAGCCGTTGATGTGACGACGGGGCACCCCTAAGCCCGTCTTCCTCCATGGAGTCCGCACCCCTTACCGAACGTGACTGCTGTAGGTTTTGTGTTGTTTCGTTCTTTCCAGAATTCCGACGTACGGCGGTTCCGGAAGTCCAAATGGCGCCAAGGGCGCCGTCTAGAGGATCGATGACAGGTGATCCGTTGATCGGGAGGAATGAACTTGTAGGTGCAATGGAATTCATGGACAGAGAAGCTACAAGCTGGCTCACTCAAAGGGCCATGAAAAAGGAAAACAGAAAAGACACGCGGAGGGGTGCGGTTTGTTTTTTTGTTTTTTTCCGTGCACTTTGGGCAGGAATGTTCGATGAGTTTCGTCAAGGGTTTGAGCACATGTTCAGCACATGTTCAGCAAGAACTACTCCCTAGGACTCTCCTGTGTGGTCGAGGAACATGCTTCTTCCTTTCCTGGTCGAGGAACTTGGTGTACTTTCGCGATTGGAGATGGAGAGCGGAGCAAGAAATGGGTGTCAAGTCTTGTGGCACGTCTTCCAACCATCTCCAACCATCTCCAACCATCTCCAAGCATCTCCAAGCCACTTAGCAGATCAGCATATCACCACCAAATGCCAAACCAAAAAGCCAGAGTCGCCAAGAAGAAAACGAAACCGCCGGTCTGAGGTGGGCCTTTGGTATTCTCATGTACTTCACCTTGTATGGCCGTTACCCCTTCGACGGCAACAACGTCCGAGAGATTCTGCTTACCGTCCTCCATGGCACCATTGAATGGGAGTCCGATGAGCCTCGGCTGGGAGTCCGAAGAGCGCGAGCCGGAACCGTGCCAATTCGCTTGGAGCTTTTGGTGGACCTCCACCAAAAGCTCCTCAACAAAACAAAGAATGGAGTTCCACTGAAGATTTGAGCAAAACTTTCAGAGAGGTTAATGATACCTATATATAGCCCTGGGAGTCAAAAGACTATAAAAAGAATGGTCTTTAGGGGAACTGAAAGGGAACTTCCTTTACTCCAGCCGGTCAAAATATAGCGAATACAGACAGTCTTTGGACTTCTAGGGTATATACGGTAGCCTAAAGGACTCTAGTGAAGTACCCAACTGGGATGGTCGAGTTCTGTCGGGTCCTTCAAGTCCTTCAACCCGATCTCATCGACTCTTGAGGGAGGTGGTGGTGCTTTCTGGGCACGGTCCTAGGTCCGACTCGTGTCAGCTGATCCACCAGTCCTGGTCTTTGATCCAACTCACGAGCCTGGTGAATCAGCTTGGCCCATGTCACGTTCGTCCCGCCCTCACCTCGACCCTTCTTCCGCCCACCAGGTCCGGGAGGACGGTCCGGCCCGGTGTGTCTGAGACCGGTCCGGTGCCAAGGCGCACATCGATGCGAAGACGGTGAGCTTCTTAAAGGGTTGCCTCCAACGAAAGCCTCGCAAACGCACCACCGCCAAGGCGCCACACGGCGGGTGTCGGCCCTCTGTCGTTGGTTTTTCTCCCGCGTGGGGTGTTGTGGGTGTGGTCCTTTTTCGGTAGAGTCGGGTGATCTTGAGTCGTGCGCCCTTCCGAACATCATCGATGGTTTTTCTGGTTCCTTAATTAATTTGAGGATATGAGATGAAGCAAATCCAAGGTGGAGGGTCTTCTTTTCCGCGCATGGACCGGATTCACCACCATAGACCACCTTTCGTTTCGGTTTCATCAGACTGAATCAGTACGGTCGTCAGGTGGCAGCTGGCAGGGGCCCCGAACTTCCCCGCCAGAGTCGAGAAACAAGCGACGACTCCGGGCCATCGTGTTCGCCCCATGCTCGCATCGAAGCACCTTCGAAACACCTGCGATCGCTTAAAGAGGATCTTTGTTGATCCTCCTGTCTCGATCGGAAGCTGTCCCAACGAGGCATTCGAAGTCCCATCCTCGCCTTGCAACCCGCTCCACTCCAGCAGAGGTCAAGCAGCATCAAGTATAGCTCAAACATGCAGGGCAAACATCAAGACAAAGGAAATTCTGCACCTATAACTCTCAGGCCTGATTGAATTTACCAAAGTTACGGATCCATCGTTCTTCAACTTCCCTCACCAACGAACTTGTTCCAAACTTGTTCAACTCGAACGAGGCTTCGGTGGGCTGGTACGACCTGATTCGGTGTGGCTTCTGTTTGTTCAGATGGTCGTCCAGACCAGATGAGACGAACGCACGACAGGAACCGCTCCGGAGAGCCAATTCCGGCCCACAATGCAACCCTATCTCCAGGTCATCTGGTTCCAGTGTAAGATGCGTTGGAGGCTTATGCAGAAAAGACCACTGGCCCAGCAAGTCAGAGGGCTTAGTTAATTGGTCCGTGACCACCTTCGTATGTTTGCCGACAGGGCAACCAACGGGGCAACCCAACCATTCGCCACTTTTGTCGCCACCGTCTCAATTTGCTGCTTTGGTGCGCGGTACAAAGTGTGCCTTAATCTTTGCGCAACACCACTCAGCCACTCGGCAAGCAGACCAGCAACAGCGCGTGGGTAATTCCACATCAGAAGCCGATATGAAAGGTCCACATGTTCGGAGCCTCGGAGCAACACCCATGTCACCACACAAGACCCGCTCAAAAATGTGCAGAATAACCCAGACACTCCATGTATGTCATATATGCCTACATTAAGGTGGTTTGAGGGGTCAATGTAGGCATATATGGCAGTCCCATGGAGCGTTTAGACATTCTTGAAGACTTGGCACTGCAACAGTTGAAAAGAGCTCACCGCGCGCTTGCGCGACCAAAAGGTGTGGCACAGGCATGAGTGGGGCCAACTCATTTAGACAACTCATTGAGATTCATTTAGACTTCTCCCGACATGGCATGTGTTTCCTTGCGCTTTGATGTTTTGGCCGAATCTTGGTTGTCTCACAGTTGTCGCTTTTGTCAACCCTGCATTGCTTGCAGAGACCACGTCCAAGCGTTCCAAACCCGGAGACACAATCGACTTACGTGGGACTGCTAGTTTGAGTTTGATCGGTGACGGGAGCCGGGCCCTCAACCGATAATAGGTGTGCTGACCCCAAATTACACTGGCAAAATCTTGAGAAAAGGAAAAACCGTTCTTGGACTGACTTGTCCTCTCACGTGTTCAGTACTATTGCGACCTGCATCTTGGGGAAAGCATGGCCCGTTTGGCTGTGTCAACTTGGCAAGGGACGCGCAAGACTACGCCAACTCCATTGGAGAGCGCGAAAGAGACTACGCCAACCTGGTTCGCACGATGAAACGTTGCCAGGAATGGAATGGAAAGGCCCGGGTGTTTTGATTTATGCCAAGTACAACAGTGCCTTTCTCGAGTGCTGTGGAGTCTGTGCCTGCACGTGATAATTGTTCCAACGGTCTGTTGCGGCACAGTCATCGATTCGTCGCATCTCCACATGCGCCATGCTTCGCGCGCTTGCAAGCGCGCGCAGGGAGACGTTTGTCCTGGACATCCTGGATCATGTTCACGCCTTTTGCTCACATTCACCAGAGGTGTGTACAAAACTGCCATGCTGACATCCGGAACTTTGCGCAAAACAGAAGAGTGGAGCGTGCTGGAAGAAAGAAAGTGGTTCGTGATGGTTAAGGCCGGATTTCTTGTAGGCATGTTCTTTCTGAGCGAAGACCCGGATTATGACGGAACCTTCGAAAAGGAACTTGTGCAGAGCATCCCTTTGATGCCTTCTGAACGCGACCATTTGGTCGACTCGCATTGAGTTTGGATCCCGGCTTGTGAGGAAGTCTTCAAATCCTTCCAAGTTGCTGGGAGTGTGGGACTTTAAACCGCCCAATTCAAGAGTGAACATCATTTGTTGAAACACTCACCCCCAGGTTCCTTGTCATCCACTGCTTTCTTCTTTTGGGGGGTGGATGGGTTACCCATCCAACCTCTCAGGGGAAGCTGGGGTGCCACCGGAGGGTTTCCGGAAGTCCGTTCTTGCTCTGCTCTCCGTTCGACACGTGACACGGAGGCTGACACGGCGCGTGACACGGAGGCTTTCGGCATTGGAACGTAACTAATCAGCCAGTGAGCTCGGCAAAAAAACTCCCCAACTCCCGCAACCGATCTGCCAACCCCAACACCCCAACACAATGTAAACAACAAAGACAGACCCTGACCCTCGTTGGTGAATCAGTGATTTTTGGCTTTGGGTCACTGATATTCAAAGCACTTCAAAGCCAGTGTATATACCCTAGCCTTCAAAGACCATTAAAAGAACGGTTGAGCTGGTGTAGTTTAAGAATCCTTAGTAAAACAATGGTTCTTAAAACCAATGGTTGGGAATGAATCCAAACGGGTATACATCCTTCTAGTTCGCCCTGAGGAACTCTGATAGCTGCGACAGGTAGTCGAAGTTCAGATACGAGAGGAACACTTCGTTCAGATACTTGGTTCATGTGGTGAGCTGAAAAGCTCATACCACGAAGCTATCATCTGTTGCATTACGACTGAACGCCTCGAAAAGTCGGAATCCATGCTCGCGAAGCAGTGTTGCTCACCATCCCCATAGCGATGCGCCAACGAAGAAGCTTCGGCTCCAGTGAGGAGTCATCAGACCATGCGTCAAGGACCTTCCCTTCCCCTTTAAAACGAGAGAAATGCACCAATGTTCTCGAATAAACCTTGGCTAATTTGGTGAGGAGCTCCGCCCGTGCCGCCTCCGCCAAGATGCTCCGCCGATGCTCCGGTTGTGCCCCCAGGCGGCCTTGAGCCATCCTTGGATCATGTCCGCCCGCAAGCCCGACGCAGCGCCTGAGCTGCGTCGAACACGCGCCGTTCGCGGCTGCGTAGGCGCTCGCTGGTCTCGCCGCGTGACGCGAGGCTCAGGTTGGTGGTGGATGGCTGGATGTTAACGTTTTTTTCTGGATGTTAACGTTTTTTTTCCAGGTGGGTTACCTGGATTGTTTACCAGATGAAACATGTTGTTTGAAGGTGGATGGTGTTTGTGTTTTCTTGTTTTGTGATTTTTACCCTTTCTGGGGATGATGTATGTTTTTCTTGTTCACTCAGAAAATCCAATTTTATGCTTGGTGGAAAGTATCCAAATCCTAAACATGATTTTTCTGCCATGGCTTCTCTGGGGTTGGGATTGAAGTCCACCAGTCAGCGAAAAACGGGTGATTTCAGCCTGCACTTCGACGACCGGCCTAACCAACTCCAATGATTGGTTCAGGAAAAGGCCTGCATGTTCATACACAATCCATCATCCGCCATTCACCAACCTGATCGGACGAAGATCAAAAATGCATACAGTGGTTCTCATGAGGTTCGATGGCACAGACCGAAACCGATGTCCTGAAAACTTGGGGCTTCACTACTAAACCACCGACATTGGGGTCTGTGCACATTGGTCCTCTCAATCCACTATAATGGGTGTGACTCAATACCTGGAGCCCCAAACCCCCTTGATCGATTGATCTGCCCGATTTTTTTTGAGGGTCCTCCGGTTTTTCGGCTCACAGAGACTGGTCACGTCGAGACTGTCGCACCAGTTCCCTACACAAACTATATCTCCATGATTGAATGCTTCAAAACCCGAAGAAAAAACGAGGCTGTTTTACCAGCTAATGACTAGATTCAGCTGCAGTCTAGAGGTTATTTCAGACCATATTATTGGAGCAGCCTAGGTCCACCGCCCATATTGGGCCGTGGTACTAAATGATGTTTCTCATACCTGGATCTTCCAACTGTGACAAGTTTCTGCATTTTCATCCAAAAAATCAGCCAAAAGGCAGAAATGTGGCACAGTTGGAAGATCCAGGTATGCGAAGTTGCTTGTATCTACATAATTGCATTGCCATGGGGATGAATTGTCATGCACACTTTCCAGTATAGAACTGCTTTCGGATCAGAAGCAAAGGAATGGAGGCTTGCATGTGAGAAAAGCACTGCCAATGTTCACCTGACATCCACCCAACTCACCCACCCCTGCCCACTTTTGATCACACGATGACCATCGATGACAACATCCATACATCGATCACCATGTTGAGAAACCGAAGAATAATCCTATGAAATCAATGACAATCTTCTCCACCCAGATGTCAGAAAAAGGACCATATACTGGAGCAGCCTGCTTTGCTTGTTGTTTTTTTAAGACCCCTTGGGGATTCAGGCGAAAATGAACCTCATCGCTACCACCTCCATGCGCTGCTCGCGCCGCATGCTGCTCGCACCGCATGCACCGCACGAGCGCTCTGAGGAGAAGCATCGAGAGCCGACCGAGATGAACATCAGCCCAGACATGCTCAAAGAACAAGGCCTTTCGAGCGGTGCCCTTTTTTCCGGGCGTTCATGGGACTCCGGTGGGAAAGACACATCTGGGGCGTGTAGCACCTATTTGGAAGATCTTTTGGGTGGGGCGGCTCCAAAGCCCCCTGGGTTCTGGAAGTCCAGGCTAGACCATGTTTCAAACGGTCTGACGAGGTGATCCGAGTTCAGGAACTTCCTGAACCACTTGGGTGCCGAACATCGTCGAACTGGACTTCTAGGGGCCTGGGTTCCGGATGGTTCTGGAACTGGACATGTCGACCGGATCCATCCAGAACCCAGACATGTATGCCATGTGTATCCATTTATGCCTACATTGACCCCCAAACTCACCCCTCGGGCGGCGCCACACGTGTTGGGGTGAGTGCAACACAGCTGGTGTAAGTTTCAAAAGCATGGCTGAGACTGGTGTGTCATGTGTGAGTGTGTGTGTGTGTCATGCGTTTTCCGTGTGTTTTCTTGTGAACTTGAGTCCTTCGCACGCTCCAATCAGCCGGGTGCCAAGAGCTCCCGAAATCGCTTCCGTGGAAGGAGCCGTGCCGGTGTTTTGGGAAAAGAACGGCTCCGCGCCGGGTGGAACGGATCGGTGCAGCAGGTTGGGCTGCTCTTGATTCATAAAGAGGACCCTACTGGGATAGGTGTCACTTATAGACCTATAAGGTCACTTAACCTCTGTTGTAGACTATACCGGCTCTTTGAGCCCTTCTCAAGCGGTTCAGGCTGGGCTGCTCTAAGACGAGTTTCGAAGATGGCACTTCGACTCTAGGACTCGAAGTGCCAAAAGAGCGGTTCATAAAGACACATAGAAACACCCGCAGGTTGGATGGAACAATGGTAAAGCCTCTTCATATGGAGGGGGTTCTGATGAATGAAGTCTACTTTTAACCTGACTGTTCTTGGGGTCGATCTTGACTTGTGGATACTTGTGGTGTATTTGTATCTGAACATGTTCAGATAGGTAGTAGTTTGGAAGTGGGGATAGTTGCTTTCTTCAACTCAACTTCTACCCATTGCCGCCCAGTACTATACCAGTACCATACCAGCACCCTCCAAAAGCCAGGTCTCCTATAGCTTCAGGCTTGCCATGGCTTGCCCTGTATTCGGCGGATAGATCAGAGGCTTGGTGCTGGTAGATCACAGGAGACGTGTCACCCAAAATCAACTCCATTGTCTGACTGGTGCGACGATTTCGTAGGGAAGTGACGGGAAGGAGCTCGCCCCCAATAGAGATTCTATTGGATCCAGCCACCCTCATTCCCTGCGAGACACACCAGTCAGTTGTTTGTCACAAAAAGGCAGTTCTCCCTGTTCCCCACCAAAAAAGCAGTCCTCTGCCCACCAGGCCGTGGTAATAGCAAGCCAACGGACGCCGTGCCTGTGGAGACAGGCGCCCGTTCTTCACGTTCTGCACCCGAAAGCAGGAGGTCAAACTTAGACTTCACGGAGTTTGAGGATGTTCTAAATCCAGAACGGAATGTTCGGAATGCTCATGAAATATCGCTTGCTGGGGATGTTAGATATGGTTGGAGCTGCTGGAACTTGACCTCTATTCCATGCCCTTTGGTACCACGATTTTGGCCTATGTAAAGCTCCCTAGCTTTGATGGAGAAAGTTTTTACGTCTCAAAGGTGGAGGTCCATGGTGGTCCACAAATGGAAACGGGTTCCGTTGGAACGAGCTGTTGTCGAAGGGGTGACGTGCCTTTTGGGGGGGTTCACATGAACAAGATGTTGCAAAACTGTTGCATGCACCTTTTCCACATTGCAAGGTGGCTTCGAGGTGGGGGGGGATTGTAGCTTCGGAGGAGAGCAGAAATCGTCATTGACCCTACAAGTCGTCTGGCTCGACCAGCGAAGTGTTGAGAGATATAGGTCAGAAAAGTTCCAGGGATTGTAAAAATATATAATATACCAGCACCCTCCAACAGGCTGTTAGTTGAGGGTTGTTGGACCCTAACAGGTCTTAATTGGTGACCTGTCGGAGGGTCCTGGTATATTATATATTGTTTATAAAACAAAAAACTATGAGATACTTCAGCGAGTCGAACATGACCATGGATACTTAGTCAAACTGTCCAGGATCTCGTAAACACTTTCCAGGATCTAGGGATCAATACGTTCGGTCTTCCAATTTGAGGGATTCTTCCAGGGAACACTTTCCAGGGATTCTTTCTATACTTCGGTCTAGTAAAACACTTTCCAGGGATTCTTCCTCCACCATCTCTTGTCTTTCAAACCCAAAGAGACACCTTTTTGCTCCACCCAGTCCGCTCCTCTCGTCGAGGCAAAGACGGCGGCGGCGGCAGCACGGCCAAGCGGGCCAACCGACTGCAGGCCGAGCCGCGAGCCGCGAGCTGGGACAAAGAAGACCTGTGAACCCGGAGTCACTTGGAGCTGGGTGGTTTGTAGTCCCATCCAGTGAGGGGACGCAACAGGACTGACCCCGACTTCCGTTCATTCGGCACCCCGACTTGCGACTCCTGGAAGGTGTGTGTGTGTATAGCCCTGGGAGTCCAGTCAACTCTAGTGTGTGTTTTTCCGGTGGTGGAGGGAGGACATCAAGTGGCCCACTCTCTGGGGTATCCCCGCCTCCCCGCCTCTAAGAACCCCAAGAGTGGCCCAACACATCGTCCTCCCCGACAGCTCCAAGGGCTCAGGAGATTCGGTGGACCGTTGAGATAGGTTGACCTACGTGGCCGGTGTGCTGTGTAGGTCCAGGAGTCCAGGAGCAGAAAACTAGAGCCAATGTCCACAGTGGATGGGTTGATATCTGGGGTGTCAACGGATAGAGACTTGGATAGACTTGGCGAGGGGAGCGGAAGGATCAGGATCTACGAGCCTATAGGCGTTGCCTTTGGCGACGTCAGGCTTGGTCCTTACCCCTGGAAGTCCAGTCGACCATGCTTCAATCTTGTCAAATCCTCTAAAATATCTCAGACACTCCATGTATGGCAAAGCCACCCCAAGGTAGGCATATATGGCAGTCCCATTAGTCGTGTCTGGGTGTATGAACAGCCTTTTTTCAGTCGGACCAAGCAGATGTCCCGAGCGTTTCCGGGGGACCTTGAAAGGCCCCTGCGGAGCGACACCAATTGGCGTCCAAACGGGTTGAAGCGCCCGGAAGCTGCGGGAGCCTGCGGAGCGAACGTGGGGAGATAACGATTGCCTCCAAGCTAGTCCCATTTGGGCTCCAGTGGCACCTCCTCAGGTTCGGTATGACTGGACCCGAACATGGCACCCTCCCCAAACATCTCCAGACACCTTCTAAGGAGGTACTTGGAACCCTAGGGACTAGCGATGGCCTCCAACCTGCTAGCCAAAGAGTCCCCACTACACCCGACAGCATCCGACATCAGCGCAGTGACTCCTGCTTGCTTCACCTGACTTCCCGCGCTGCGCAGTCCGCGCCACAGGAATCCAGTTCATCCCGTCAGGAGCCGCTGCGCACTACTCGAGCGACTCGAGCCGCTGCACTCAATGCATGGCAGCGTGTGCATTGAAATAGGGAGACGCCCTTGCCCAATGGGTCCCTTGGTCTATGTTCCTTCTTCTAGTGGGTCGAACTGGGAGGACTCCCTATTACTGTAATATTACACATCCATATTGGGACAGAGTGTCTTGGGTATACCTACATTCCAGTCCCATGGAGTGTCTTGGATAGATGTTGACCATCCAAGAACCAATCAGCCCGGCTTCAGACCTGATTGTTTGAGATGTTTTACATTCAGCCGCGCTTCGGCTCTCAAGCTCTCAAGCTCTTGACCACTCTGACCTTCGGCTCATTGGCCGCTGCTGTTGGGGGAAATCATTCTGCGAAGGGAACACATAACCCTCCAGGAGGTTGGAGGGTTGCTGTTGGGTACTCTCCTGACATACCCAACAGCCTCCATTTGGAGGAAGTGCTCATCTACTAACCCCACCCATACTCCAATGATCTCCAATGGCCAGAGCATCGGGCCGAAGACTCTTTTGGAAGATCTCAACCAGGTCGGCCACCAACCCCCCTTCAACCAGTCCGTTTCCTAACCATTCTCTACCCTTCAGTTCGACCATCAAAAGACAGGTTGACCTGGTTTTGATAGTACAATTTTCAGTAAAACCATGGTTGTTTGCTATGAAGACTGTCAAAACCACTGGGTGGGCCAGACCTCCCCAGCATTGCGCTCCGACCCTGGACCCTCGCACCGAACGCCGCAGGACATTGATCCGCAGCTCGCGTCGGGGGGTCAGACGGAAGACCCGCAGAAGTCAGGCGCGGGGCTTGATCCGCCACTGGATCCACCACCGGCTTTGATCGGGTGACGTGGCCTCTAAGGGCGGCGTCTCTTTTCTTTTGGTGGAAGAGGTGGAAGAGTTGCGAGAAACTCGGTGAACTGTTCGAGGAATTTGGGACCAAGGTTTTTCATATACAACTGGTGATGCCCGATGGCACTTGGATCTTCCCAAAGTTTCCAGGATCTGGCCACTGGGGGAATCCTAGAAGGTCCATGTTCCAAGCTGGGAACCTCGTCTTGGATGTATTACAGTAACGGGATACCTCCCGGTGAAAAACCTCCAGGAAGACGTTTTCCATTGACGTGATCTCCCTCTTTTACACACCCTCTCTCAGTACTTCGAGGTTCCTATAGTTAACCTCCTGAGCAGCAAAACATCCACGGGGACGTCCCACCGAGCAGCAAAGCTTTTATCATGTTTTATCGTTGGACGTTGTGAAGACGTGAAGATTAGATGCCTTCTCTTGGAGGCTAGAAGGAAGTGAGACATGATCCATCCGACGGAAGAAAAAGCCTGTTGGTCGTAGTCGTCATCGTCATCACATATTTTCCCATAGAAGGATCAATGAATCACATAAAGGAAGAGAACCAGCACCTTCATTCCGGGGTCACCTGGCTGGAAGCCCGCCCCAGCCCACTACTACCTTTCCGGGATCTCCAGACAGGACACCTCAGACACCCAGGTCCAGGTCCAGGAAGAATAGGATGTCTCACCATCGACGCCTCCAGGAAGTCAGGGAGTGGAGTTCTTGCTGGATGCCAATCAGGCCCATACTCTCGACCCAGAGACCGGATCCGGTCCGCAGTGAAGTACAAGGGATGACGCTGGGGTCCACGGGGTAGGTTCCGTGGGAGTGGGTCCACGGTAGGAGTTGGGAGTGGGTCCATGGTTTCGGTTGTAGGGGTTTTAGCCCACCAGTAGTAATCAGCTAGTGGATGATCACGATGGAACAGTCGGCCTGCAACTGAAGCATCATTAAAAACTGGACCGTGTTTGGGAGATACACCAGTTCCATGGCATGGAGTGTTGCGGACGCAATTCTTGGATCCAAGCTGTTTGAAGAGGTGCAAGACTGGATGGTGGAACTGATTTCAATATATTTCAATGAGCGAACCAAGGAAAATGGGCGGAAAACATTGGACAGACGGGCAGGGTCCAAGACAGTCTCCAGCAAGAGAGGTACCAGGCAGAAAGATTTTAGACTACAAAACCAGGTCAACCTATTTGAAACCCAAACACTCCACGGGACTGCCCATATTTGCCTACATCAGTTGGGGGTGGTTGGAAAGGGGTCAATGGGGCGGCATATATTCCAGTCCCATGGAGTGTCTAGGCAATGGTCTTGGGTCCCCCAAATTCCCGCGGCGAAAGTTTTCGCGCGCGGCACCAGCCTGGAATCCATCGGCGAATTCCACCGATCTGAGACTGGGCGCGAGATCAGCCGAGACGCATTCGGTCCGCGGAGGTAGACGTGATTCGACTCAGGGAGTTCGATGAGCTTGGGGAAATCCCAGCTGGAGACATGTTTTGTGAGAACTCGTCCTTCAAGAGTTGCTCAGTTGTTAGCTACAAGACCTGTAACTCTTCCCCAGGCTTCCGACCACCGATTTAAATTGATCTAATGGGTTGAACTCGAGCAGCCATATTGTGCATTACTATAAGGATTCTACACTACAACACCCAGGTCTTTCCCATGCCCCCCATGCCCCCTAAGAGCGATGTTGCTCCTTTCCCAAAGAGCGATGGCCTCCATGGATTTCCAACAGAGGTGGGTCAGGACCCGACGCCCTTCGCCTATCCCAGTTGGGTACCCCAGTTACAGGTCCTAGTTCAGGACACTGGCTACCTCTCTTGGTTTAGCCCATGACCAGGCCTTGGAGTTCCAAGACATGTATTCCGACTGGAAGCGGCAGACCTCCACCGACTCCACTGCCTCCTCGACGCTCGGGCATGACGTCGGGTTTGGACGGGACAAGAGGTGTGTGTAGTGTGTGTTTGTGCGTTTGTAGCCCTTCAAATTCATAGGGACAATGATTCAAAATGGATCAAAATGGGCATTTGGAACAAGGGGGCAGGGGGATCACCCACGTGTTTGGTTTGTGTGTGTCTTTTCGCGGGGTGCGCTGCAGTGACAATACTGCACTGGAAAACGTGTGTTGAATCGATTGCGGCGGAGAGATGGTCCGGGTCGCCCCGTTGGTGGTACCGCTTTGGGGCGGCGCTTTTCGGCGCCTTCTTTGGGTTGGACGGACCGGGGGAAGACCTGGAGCATCCGACGTCCTAAAACCATGCGCGTCATTGTGGACGTGAAGAAGACCGCGTGGTGCCTGGCTGGGTGATGCTTTGGCCCAGCGCCGTGCACTGGGTGCACCAAAAATGTCATGTGTCTTTTTCGGGGCGTCGGCTTCGGCTCCGAGATCTCCTCCGGTCACTGAGGGCTTCGCAGATGGGTTACTACCCTGGTGGATCCATGGCGGAGGTGGCGGAAGAGGATGAAGACGTCAAGAGGATGAAGGTGACTCAGAGGGGGAGGATCTGAGGGGGGAGGATTGATTTGGGGGCTCGGAGGCCGGGTCGAAGGTGTCCCGAGAACGGTATGTATGGGCAGCTGAGGTGCTGGCTAGACTGCTTTGAGGGGAGAGTGAGAGATCTTGAGCCTCCAGGGCCGGGAAGACGAGGACGTTCGGCGCCTGAAGGGCTTGCGGGGTGGACACCGGCGAGCAGATGTTGGGGGGACAAGACTGTGACTTGACTCCTTGAGTCGCGAAGCTTGATGGGTCGACTTGACTCCGCCTGGAAGGTTCGTGCTAAAATGTTTGTTTGTTCATCCAGATTTCGGCAAGACATCTATATAGAAATGTTGCCTATCCCAGACACTCCATGCTATATGGAATATTGACCCCCCCTGGCCGTTTCTCGGCAGTCCTATGGCAGTCCCAGACAGGTCGTGTCTGGGTTATAGAGGTGTTCCCCCTTCGGCTCCTGCATCCCGCCGAGCTGGGAGGCGAGGGATGGGAGAAACCACGCGTTCGGATGGGGCTCCACCCGAACCCCCCCATTCTCGCGGGGCTCGCGGGGGGCGGGCGGGGGACCGGAGGCTGCTGGTTTTCACCTCCCGCAGCCCTCCTTCCACGAACGTTCCGGTGTTCAACTGACCGAACAGACCGAAGGCGGTGGGAGAAACCCTTCGTTGTTTTGGGGTGTTGTAGGGTGTTGTAGGACCCTTCGTTTTGGGGTGGACACAGGGGGAAGACAGTACGTGACCAGTCATGTTTGGTCCCATCGTTTAGGTTGAGACCGAAACACTTGGAGGTGAGCTGATGTGAGGTGAACAAAGGTGGACCCCAAAATGCCTCACTTCAGGGCCTTTGCCTTCATCACCCCAGGCAGAGCTTGGTTCTGAAATGGATGAGGACGTTTCACCTCAAGCAGTAGGCCGGGCCTCGCGGCTGTCGGAGACCGATTGGGCGGTGTTGGGATTGCGTTTGGAGAAGCCAGAAAGTGTTATGTTTATGTGAAACTTAGGCCCCACCATGAATTCGGTGCAGGCTACTGGCTAGACCAACGGAAAAAAGTAAGTGCAAAAAGTGCTGAAACTTAGGGAGACGGCTCAGGGGTTTTCTTTGAGGAGATTCAGGATTCGGTTATTTGTTCTGTTGCATGCGTTTGACCAACCCATCCATGGTGCCAAGAGGGTCTTTCCAGATCCTGTCCGCCGTTCCGTCACCGTCAGCCTCCTCTCAAGGAATGCACCCGTTTCAGGGCTGGGGAGGGCTGGAGAGAGCGAAGTTCCCAAGCTAATTTGCATGCAATTTCTCTCTCACAAGCCCTTTGTGCTTCGGCCCCAGCTTTGCAGGAAGCCAAAGTATTCCTAATGTGCGTGGTTTTTAGCTGCAAGACTTCCAGAGCTATCCATTTTGAGCTTCTAACATGGGCTTCCCAAAATGAAAAAAGCTCAGTTGTTGGGCCTCAACACGGAGGGGACCGTGTTCGTTTTGGTCCATCCCAGCCCGGCTCGCGCCATGTCTTTTCGACCGGGACAGCGACGGGAGGCATTCCATTGGTCCCGCCGCTCCGTATTGGAGAAGGCGCCGTGACGCACCAGAGCAGCTCCGAACCGGACCCTCTCCGGGTTCCACGCGCGGCGGGTTCGACGCGGAAGGGGAAGGTCACGTGGTCTTGGGATGTCTTGGGTATGGGATGCCCCCCAGCAGCTTTGGCGAAGAGTTCGAAGCAACTCCCCAATCATGGCACGTGCCGGCCGTGCCGGCCGTGCCGGCGTACTGCGTACTCGGGAGTTGACAACCTCCAATCATTCCCACGTTGGCCTCCTCCCCGGCACAAAAAAAATACACAGCGGAAAAGCCACAGTCACACAACCGCTGTTTCAGACGGGTCTCAAGCAGAGTCAAGAGTCAAGAAGAGCTATGATCTTAAGACGGGTCTCAAGCCTTTGAGCATCTTTAAGCCTTTTGTGAGACCCAGCATCATCTCACGCTTCATCCCATTAGAACACCCCCTGGATCCGTCAGCGCGGCGCTTCAGCGCATCCCGCGTGGTGACGAGGCACCTCGAGGGGCTCTGGCAACTTGAATGCCATGGCTATGAATCGGTCTATCGTCCCCGTCAGTCCTGTGGCATCTCAGCTCTCAGAAAATGGGGAGAAGGAGGAAGGGTCGAAAAAATGCGGCAGCCTTCGAAGGGGAGAAAAGTTGGGGGGTCGGAGTTGATTCGTTCAACAGTAGAAGCTGAAGGCTGTTTTTTGCTGCAGGGGATTCACTACCAAAGCACCAAAGGTTTTTCAGCAGGGGAGCAACATTGGCAAACACAGGGTGGCCACCAGGAATGTGGACGGTTGATTAACTTTAACATGTAAAACCAACAGTGGGTGTTTCACAAGTCTCTAAGGGTCAGGATCAAGAAGCACCATGGACGATCTTGATAGAGTGTCCAGTGGCATGTGTTGAAGCCGACTTCTGGAGAAAACAGAATAGTGTCCAGAATGTCCAGAATGCTGTTGATAACAGCACACCTATGATCACCTATGGGTGGTTGCTGGTTGAAAAAACACATGGAGGCGTTCTACGTCCCATGTTTGGATTTGTCCAAGCCAAGAACTTAACTTCTTCCGTTGCACGTGCTCAGCGACCTTAGAAAGTCCAATGTTTGACATGTCCTTTTCAAGATACCACAATCAACCACTAGCAAGCCCGAGTGCTATGAAGGTGTTTGTTTTTGTGGGAGGGGCTGGAAGTGGGGACAGTACATTTGATCAACGACGGTGATGAGGCTCTTCAGTGAAGAGGACCCAAAAATCAAAAAATGACGATTTGTTGGCCTGGTTTCATTCCAGGTGTTGTCCCCGTTTGGTTGATTTTTTTTTTCCAGGTTCCTTAAGCAAATCCAAGTTAGGGTTTGCCCGAAACTATCTGTTCTCCATTCCCTCCTTCCCTGCTGCTCACATCAACAACATGTCCGAGCCGTTCAGGGAATTGACTCTTGTTCACCGATCAAGAATTGCACCAGAACCCAGCAGGTCAAGGACCTCACTCGGACCAGGTTTTACTTTTGGGGGAAGCAAACAGTCAATGAGTCGATACCCCAGCTGCGAGCGGCCCAGCCTGTGGCGAGTCCCAAATCCTCGTTGTGCGGATTGTGTGGATGTTCTTTCCCATAGTGGATACCCAGGGAAGATCTGGGTGCGTCTCCAAACAAGGAGACCTCCCAACGACAACCTCGAAGAGGAAAATCTGGACCATGCGAACAACACCAAAAGAGACCAAAAAGAGACCATCACGCGAAAAACACGGGGACTTAGGACAAAGGGACTCCGGTTGAAAAAGACTGTGCTATCCGAGATGTCTTGCCTTTGTTTCATAATCACATACACCACCCATGTGACCCATGTGACCACTTCTTTTCCCAGCCAAATCCATCTCCACTCCGCTTTCCAAGGCCTCGGGGCCTTTGGATCCGGCCACTTGGAAAAGCACCCTTATGAGGGCGAAGTCTTCGGGGCACCGGGAGACGGGGGGAGCTCTGTTCTTTTCCCAGCCTTCCGTGAAAATCCATGGTTTTGCCAACTAGAAATGTCAAAAAAAAGACAGCTCACTTGTGGATTCAACCCCATGAAAATCCGTGCTTGGCCCCAAAATATGTTTCGTGATGTTTGGTGTGTTTCCCGAATGCGTAGCGAAGGGTTCTTGTCTAACTCTGGGGGTCTGGGGTAGAGCCTTGTTCGCGACTCGTTGTTTGAGCGTTCCCAACCGTTGTCAACCATTCGCAACTGTTCGCAATGGCGCTCACATTGGGCGAAGCTTTTGGAGAGGGTTTTGGATGGAAGCATGACGTGTCAGATTCGTGTGAAATAGCGAGGAAACGTGTGGAAACGTGAGAGGATGAAGTGTGGATGATGATTTCACTGCGCAGGTGCAGCGTTTTGTGAGATGGGCAGTTTTCTGCGGCGTTTGGAGGGTGGTGCTTCTGGGGTGTTGGATGTGGCTGTGACATTGGGATTTGCGCTTCAGGCTGTTGCTACGAAGCTGTGCTTGTTGAAGGTGTGGACGCGCAAATTTTCATGGCAGGCGCAGGGAGTCGTGAGGCTGCGAGTTGTGGTGGAGGTGAGTGTCGCTGTGACATTGGGAGTGGTGTGTGTGAGCAAGTGTGGCTTGAGGGGCTGGGATCGCGAAACTGCTTGGCAGGGCTGCTAAATGCTTCGGGCAATGCCGGCACAGGCCACGCCCCAATGGCTGTGCCCACCGCAGCACCCATGGCAGGGATGGCAGCGCCCGGCATGGGTGTGATGGGTGGCTCGATGGGTCGGATGGCAGTGCCGGTCGGGGCTTTCCGCTTGACTTTCGGAGGAAATCTCGTACGAAGTAATCGCTTTGGAGACTTTGACACGTGACTGTAAAAATCCGAAATGCTCGTTTTGGAGACTTTGACATCTGACTTTTGGAGGGGGTCTCGTACGAAACGTTCGTTTTGGAGACTTAACGCGTGAATTTTGGCAGAAGTTTCGGACGAAATGCTCGTTTTGCAAACTTCAAGTGTGAGTTTTTGAGGAAGTCCCGTGCAAAACGCACGTTTTGGAGACTTGACCAGTGAGTTTTGGAAGAAGTCTCGTACGAAATGCAAGAGTGTCCTACAAGAGTGTCCCACAAGAGTGACATGCAAAAGTGTCGCAGAAGAGTGTCCGGCAAAAACGTGTCCTACGAGAGTGTTTCGCAAGAGTGTCCTTCCATGAAACTGCATCATGTGAGTTTATCTCATGTGGACCAAAAGGGGAAAACACTTGCTTGATTTTGCTTTTCAGTACGAATACAATCTATGAAAACCTGGCCCTATCGATCTTTTAGGTCTGAGAATACAAGAGTGCCCTCCCCATATGCAACCTTTCCATTAGGTATGACGCGAGCGCGGGCATGTGTATCAAAAAGAAATTAATTACTGAATCAAAAAATATTATTTACGTAATCAACAACAAATTAATTAACTAATCAAAAAATACTTATTTTCCTTTCCCGTCTCTATGCTTGCTCCTGGTCCACATGGTCGTCCTGGTCCCCTGGTCCCCTTGGTCCCCTGGTCCCCTTGGTCCCCTGGTCCCCTTGGTCCTCTGGTCCCCTTGGTCCCCTGGTCCCCTTGGTCCCTGGTCACCTCGTCGAAGGGAAGGGAAGGGAAGGAAGAAAAGAAGGGATCCAGGTAGGAGGCCGGCTGTACACGCGAAAAGTGACTCATCTGTACACGCGAATGATATACCTCGTCTGTACACGGGGATGCGCTGCTTCAAACTCACTCTCGCTCTCACTCTCACTCACTCACTCACTCACTCTCACTCACTCACTCTCACTCACTCACTCTCACTCACTTTCACTCACTCTCACTCACTCACTCACTCACCCTTTTGTCCTTTTGTGGGCAGTGTGAAATTTCGAGAAGGAAGTGGCTATGCCAAGTTCACTCACCCTTTTGTGGGCCATGCAGG